CAAGGCAGAAAGTTGGTTAACGACTTAAACAAATTATTACCATTGGGGGGGGGGTTCACTTTGAGAAAATGGGCGTCGAATAACAACGAACTGCTCTGTAGCTTAGGTAAAGGTCAGATTAAAGAAGAAAATTTAATTTTTAATTTTAAAAGTGAACACGCAACACGGACTCTTGGATTCTGTTGGTTAAACAACAAAGACACATTTACTTTCTGTTGTAAAATGTCTACTCAAGAAATTAAGCCCACAAAAAGATGTTTGCTTTCAGAAATTTCAAAATTATACGACCCATTAGGCTGGCTTGCACCAATTTCAACAAAATTAAAAATATTATTTCAAGATGTATGGAAGTTAAATATTTCTTGGGATGAAAACATACCGGATAACATACTACATAAATGGCGGAAAATTCGGAGTGATATGAATGATATACAACAATTTGAAATCCCTCGATGGATAGGATGTAACGAAAATGATGTTGTCGAGTTACATGGTTTTAGTGACGCATCAGAACATGCCTTTGCCTGCGTCGTCTACGCAAGAATAAAAAACCAACCTAAAACAATACTTTTAGCGGCTAAAACACGACTCGTACCAAATAAAAGAGAGATATCATTGCCTAGGTTAGAATTAAATGCTGCTCATTTATTATGTAAATTGATAGATAAGATAAAACAATGCCTGTGTCAATATAAAATCGAAATATATGGATGGACGGACTCCATGGTCGTTTTAGGTTGGCTAAATGGAGATCCAAGTCGCTGGAAAGCTTTCGTGGCAAACAGAGTTAAATATATCATTACTATTATAGCTGCAAGTCGTTGGAGTTACGTTAAGTCTAAAGAAAACTCCGCGGATGCTGCAAGTAGAGGGCTATACGTATCACAACTTAAAAACAACCAATTATGGTGGCACGGACCATCATGGCTACAAACATTTTCATACCGACTTGATGAAAAACACATATACCAAACAAACGAAGAAATTCGATTAAAACAAGGAAACGTTATACAGAAAGACAGTCATAACAATATTATATACTTATTATTGAATAAATTTAGTTCATTTACAAAAATAACTCGTATTGTAGCATGGATATTACGTTTTTTAACACCTAAGCAGATAGGTAAACAATGGCCGAGCTACCTTACGTTAAGGGAACTGAAGCATGCAAAATTAGTTATTATTAAACATGTTCAGGAAAACGATTTTCAAGTGGACATAGAATATTTATATAAGCACAACACAGTGCATATGAGTAGCAAATTACGGAGTTTGAATCCGGTTTTAAGTGAAGGAATACTGAGGGTTGGAGGAAGATTAAAAAATGCTAACATCCACGACGATACGATTCACCCTATAATAGTACCCCATAAAAGTAGATTGACAGATCTTCTAATAGATCATGCCCATAACATGACATTTCACAGTGGTCCTCGACTTACTTTGGGATGGTTACGTCAAAAATATTGGATTGTAGGGGGCAACAGAGCCGTTAAATTGCGTTTAAGATACTGTGTCAAATGCAGAAAAAATAGTCCCTCTACACAACATCAATTAATGGCTGATTTACCAGTTTCAAGAGTTAATCCAGCACCACCTTTTTATCACACAGGCGTTGATTATACTGGGTTCATGGAAGTAAAGTCAAGTAAAGGAGCGATGGACATGTAAGAGTTGTAACATTGAAAACAAAAAAACGGTAAACTTAAAAGACCGATCAGTAAATTATCATTATTACCTGTAGAAATATCACCACAGCAAAATGAAGAAAAAGAAAGGTCGAGTAACATCATACAGAAGAGAACCCATAAGAAAGAAAATAAATTACAAGGCACACCATCTAGATTTAGTTCTCTCGTTATGAGTTTAATGTTTTTTATATGTTTAATTACACCTGCATTTAGTACAAGCTCTTAAAGTATTTACAATAAGTCCTCACGGGTGAGAGCGCATCTGCATTTTGATTCGTAATCGAGGATAGTAATTTATATTCTTAATTCACAAAATTAAACGCTACCAATAGACCTACTAGTCAAAACTTAATACCATTAATGAATAATTTTAAATTTTTTTTAAACATACGTATTTTACTTTATAAATACGTATTATAAAAATATTTTAAAAATAATATTATTTCCTTATAAGAAGTATATAGTTCAAAATCCTAATTTATTAGTCATCGAAAAATAACATCCAAAGTCATATATTAGAGTATGGTCAGAAGTGTTTTCTGTACGTTAAGTTATAGCGTTTCTATTTAACGTACAAAGTTTTTCTTTCTTTAAAATTGTTGAGGCGTTTCCTTAATAATTGCTTACTATGACTGACAAACGATTTATAATATGTGGATGTTCGAAATTCAACTCCAAATTTATCGCAGTGCTCAAGAAAGGTAGGATAAAGATATTTCAGTTCTGCATGATCCAACGTTGGAAAATAATGATGAAGTGCACGATATCCAAACCGTGTAAGTGATTTAAAATGGTTGTCATCGTACTCAACACTCTCAACTAAAGTGTCCAGTTGATGAAGACCCCAGTCATAATACATGTCTCTGTAAAAATACAATATTTTGATTAAAAAAATACAATTCACGAGAAAACTTGTCATGAAGAAAAATATATGTAATTATTATCATTGTAGATTGTATGTGTGAGAAAGCCTTTGATTACTGCAAGACGCGAAAGTGTTATGTGTGAGAAAGCCTTTGATTACTGTAAGACGCGAAAGTGTTTACACATACAATCTACAATGATAATAATTACATACATTTTTCTTCATGACAAGTTTTCTTGTGAATTGTATTTTTTTTAATCAAAATATTGTATTTTTACAGAGACATGTATTATGACTGGGGTCTTCATCAACTGGACACTTTAGTTGAGAGTGTTGAGTACGATGACAACCATTTTAAATCACTTACACGGTTTGGATATCGTGCACTTCATCATTATTTTCCAACGTTGGATCATGCAGAACTGAAATATCTTTATCCTACCTTTCTTGAATTTCGAGCATCCACATATTATAAATCGTTTATCAGTCATAGTAAGCAATTATTAAGGAAACGCCTCAACAATTTTAAAGAAAGAAAAACTTTGTACGTTAAATAGAAACGCTATAACTTAACGTACAGATTTCACCATACTCTAATTTATGACTTTGGATGTTATTTTTCGATGACTAATAAATTAGGATTTTGAACTATATACTTCTTATAAGGAAATAATATTATTTTTTTTTTATATACGTATTTATAAAGTAAAATACGTATGTTTAAAAAAAATTTAAAATTATTCATTAATGGTATTAAGTTTTGACTAGTAGGTCTATTGGTAGCGTTTAATTTTGTGAATTAAGAATATAAATTACTATCCTCGATTACGAATCAAAATGCAGATGCGCTCTCACCCGTGAGGACTTAGATGGAATACCTCGTTTCCAGTAAAGAGGGTCTCCGGTTCTCTACACTTACCATACGAAACACAGCAGCATTAAGCTATTCTTCCCCGGTTGAGCCGACCCATTCGTGCTACAACGATAAACTAAGTGGCTCTACCACATTAAAAAATTTGCTTTGGCCAGCTAAACATTTATGTTTTATTATTCCATAAGATTTTTATTATTTTAAGACTAATATTACCTATAATTTATTAATTATTTTTAATTGTTGTTTTCTATATTGAGTACTGATTGAGTTAAAGACCAAGATTTTAATATTTTAAGACTAGACCTAGTGCAAATAATTATTTACAATTGTTGATTAGTGAATAATTATGTACCATTGTTGATTTTGTATTATTATTTTATATAAGACTGATTTTTCTAGTGCGAATAATTATATACAATTGTTGATTGGTGGATAATTATGTACCATTTGTTGATTTTTATAATAATTACTGTTTTTTTATTCCATGACCAAGATTTTAATATTATAAGACTGAATTTCCTATTGCGAATAATTACCTATATACAATTGTTGATTAGTGAATAATTATATAACCTTTTTATTTTAATAATATAAAATTACAAATAATAAATGTGTTTTTTTTTACTTAAGGTATGAAGAGCAATTTTTCATTTTGTGTTGTGCGATTTTCTTTCTCAATCTCAAAATCATTTAGCAACATCAGCATCATATGAAACCTCCATTGTCATAAGAGCGTGACTTTTCTTCTGTGATTCACTTGGCCTACGCCTCGCCATAAAATATTTTGAATCGATGTCTGTATATTTTGGTTAGATCGATTTTGAAATCGATACACAACGTGCGACACGGTTACATCTCTAAGAAAGTTTCAAAAGGAAAGGTCAGCTACGCCGTTGTCGTCCAGTCGTGACAGTGACGTCATCACGATGGAGAGTAGTGTTGTGGTTTACTACTATTTTATTGTTATTGTTTGTTTTTAATTTATGAACAAAGTACATATATAAAAAGATTGGAAGACAGCACAAGATTAAATAAAACATACCCGATTATAAAGTCATTTATTGTATAAAAAACCAACAAAAACAAGTTATTTTGTGTTATCGATATATCAACTCTTGGCAGCACTGTTTTTTTCGTAGGTATTTTTGTTTACTTTTCGCTTTGGCGTACAGGACACGGTAGTGAGTTTTTGGCGTGGCGCTCAAAAGGTTAATGCTGCTGTATTTCATATGGTATGTGTAGAGAACTGGAGATCTCTTTTTCTAGCATTCCAGTCCCGCCCTCAGAGGTGACATCTGCATTTTGATTGATCTGCATTTTGAGGATGTAAATGTATCTGTATGGTCACAGCATCCACTTACCATCAGTTAAACTGTATGTTCGTATGTCATCTTATAAGGAAGCTATACAAATGCTTGTTACAATAATAATTAGAAAAACTGCGTTTGCAAGTCCTGACAGGTATGACAAATATCCTCCTATGAGGCAGTCTTTGGGAGAAGTCTTTATGTTCAGCAGTGGACTTGACTGTAATGAATGAATTAATCAAAAGATAATTTATTTACAGGGCCTCAAAGGAGTAGAAAACATATACACCCAACATACACCCCTTCTCAAAGACACAATTGAAGATCTTATCAAAGGCAAACTTCGAGAGAACCTCTATCCGACCCTCGGCGGAGACGACAGCTCCTACGGTCGTAGGCCTCAAGACATAATAGTGTTTATCGTTGGAGGAGTGACATACGAGGAATCTCTGTGCGTCCACCAAATAAATCAAGCATACCCTGGAGTCAAGGTCGTGCTAGGAGGGACAACTATTCACAACTCAACATCCTTTATGGAAGAAATTAAATCTGCGATGCAAGGAGTTCATAGGACACACACGAGGCACATCAGAAATGTTTAGACCCTTACTTCACAATCATTATTGCAGTCCTTTAGAATGACTGTCACCATTTGCGATCATTGAATCCCTCTCCTTGATTTTATGGTAGCTTGCCTAAAACCTCTACTTTTAACCTCTCAAACGGCATGCGTCCAAATGTGACAGTTCGATATTCCGTTCAAGAGGTCAAATGTGACCGCACTCACCTACAGCACTTTAACCTATAAATACTTATGTTTAGAGACTACTTTTCTATGAAGAAGTTTGGCATCATAGAATCAATATGAAATTTTCTATCCCCTAGTAGAACAAGTCTATGGATATTTATTTATAATCTACATTCATTTCGTACGCCATTTTCGTGTGAATGTTATTGTGTTGATTTTAGGATTGTTCTAGTGTTTTAGTAATGTTTTTTTATAAAATCGTAATGAAAATTTTTGCGTGAATATAATTTTGTCTTTTTACGTAAATAATTTCTAGTAATGTACAGAAATAATTGTGATTTTCACGCTACCGACATCCGCTTGGTATGTTTTTTTTTTATATCAAAATACAATAATATCTTTTTGTAATGAAGTAAAACCTGACTTTCGTTTAAACCATAGGATAGAGAATTTTGTATAGATTTTATAATGCCAAACTTCTTCATAGAAAAGTAGTCTCTAAAATAAGTTTTAATGGTTTAAAGTGGTGTGGGTGGGTGCGGTTGCATGCGACCGCTCGGGATTTGTCGGACGCATGCAACTTGCATGGGATTTTTATGGGGATTGAAGGGTTAACATAATTGTCATACTGCAGCTGAAAGTGCTGCAGCACGAATAAATAGTCTTGATCGGGGAAGGATCAGCCTTTTACAGAGAATGCCAGCGTGAAGTGTTTGGTATGAGTGTCGAGAACCGATAACTCTTAATGGTAGGGAAGCATTCCGTCTTAGATCTCAGAAATAATAAAGAATGCTTTTTGATTCGTACTATGCGATCCAAATAAGAATAGAACTGACCTGGCGCCATTACCAGTTAGGTAAGGTGAGCAAAACAGATATTTATAAAATAATATTTATAGCATTTCAATTTCACTCATCTCTGCATCACTGTCTGAGTAGTCATCATTATCATCACTGCTGCTTTCTTTCTTATAAAAATATTCCACCTACTAGTATCAATATTTTAAATTAATTTATATAAAAAATATTAAGAGTTCAATAGATTTGAAGACTCCGATAAACAAAGGCGAAAAAATAAACCGTTTTTGATACGCTAATTTCTTTTGCAAGCCGTGCTTTTTAAGTTGCAGTTGACAGATCGCGGTCATTCGAGACTATTGACGTCCCTATTCTTATTTCAATCGCATTGTAAAGGTTACCTGCCTGTTGGCCACAGCATCCTCTTATCTCTTATCTAGCAGTACAAAATACTGTGGTAATATTAATGTTACCAATCGAGAACCTCGAAAGGAAGTATGGTCTATTACCACTCATATTTACGCTATATTTGATGCTATGGTTCTTGTGCTAAGACTTGTAGAATTTGTATATTTATATTAGTTATCAATGTACTATGAGCGTAATATATGATTTTGTGTAATTTTTCGTTATCCTGTGATTTTGTTTCTAGTTAGTCTAATATTTGCATTCTTAATTATATTATATCTTGTCTTAAGTAATTTAAATAAGAATATATAAATGAATCACTATTAATTTTTAAGGTATTTATTGTGATGTATGTATATTTTATAAGCCATTTTATATTCATTCCAAATATAGTAAAATAATATAATAGTTGCTTATTTTATTTCTGTTTATTCGTTTTACTTGCGTACTACCTTTAGTATATAATAACTTTTCAGATAACAATATCATGAATTTGAATATTCAGTTTGAAGATATTCGGGCGGCGGCGTCGTTCATACCAAACGTATTCCCGTTTTCTCCGATACTCCAACACTAGAGTAAATATTTTTACTAAACAATCTATATCTACCTCTTCAAAACTTTGACGTTTGTTTTCCTTAATCATTAAAAAACTAGAACCTTCAAAAGTGGCAAAATGGCCGTATTTACCAGTCATTGAACATCCAGCGAACAAAATTAGCTAACTGTACGGTCTTTACAAACTGCACATTTTTGCATTTATTATATCATTATTCATTCTCATCAATTTAGTACGCAATCATTCGCCGTCGCGCATTGTACTCACTATCAATAATATCAGAATGAAATAATCAGTTCAAGTCTTTATCAATTTTATAAACTTCTAAAATTGTACAGAACAGAAGCTCGTACACTAACATAAGGAATAAAGAAAAACAGACATTTTTAGGTATATACAAAGGAACACGAGATGATTATTGCGTCAATTTTTCATAGGTACAATCAATCCTAGCTGCAGTGGTCGCTCGGACACAGCGCGACTGCAATATATTGTTTTTTATTTATTTATCAAAAGTATTCTTACTTATTTGCTTGATTTGATAATAATGGTTTGTATTGGTACTTACATTCGCAACTAACGCACTGCTTTACATAAACTTGCATCCTAGATATCCGCTTAAGGACTAAGCCCAGAGGAAGTGAAAATGCTCACAGCTAAGCAATTCTTGTAATTTGTTGCTCAGCGATGAACCCCATATAGCCAAAGCAGTGATCAAATTGATCTTTTTGGTCGCAGTGACTGGTCGTGCAAAATTAGGGTTGAAAACCCTACTTTAAAGCGTAGTATCCTACTAAAGAATTCCGAATACCATACTCGTATTTCTACAAAAAATATTGATAAGAGGCTACCTATAATTTTATACGGCATGAGGCGTTACTACATCCACTGTAGTTCTACTACTGTTCGCTCGACAGTGGTACAAATGTGACTAACACAACGCCCTCCGCCCGCTCGACAAGGATACATATTAGTACCACTCATAATTTATGAGGACGAACCCGACAAAAAAAGGTTTGTCATTAAAAATTATAACAAATTTATACTAAAATGTATAATGCAGACAAAGACATACTTTTTAATATGGTACCATAATCTGTCAATTTCGATTCTAAAAATAGACATAAAAATCATTCTGACGTAATGGCTTTTTACAACAGTAGTGCGTGAGTTATTTCTGAGTGATTTCTCCGTTTTTCTGTGTGTTTTTGGAATAAAAAGGTGAGTTTTATACTTTTGTGTATTCCTTGTAATAAAACAAACACGTAGATATATAATTTGTGGCATAAAAAGTGAAAAGTGGCCAAATGTACTTCTAAATCGGGAAGGCCCATTTAGCGGTTGGGTCAAAAATGTGTTATTTTTACAATTCTCATTAATTTTTAGTGTAAAATGTAACTAAAAATAGTTTTATAACATATTTCAAATAACTTGACGTTGTATTTATTTCAAATTCACACAAAAAATATTTGAAATATTATTCGGAAATCTTATACAGATAAAAATTAATTTCGTTTTTTTTTTATATTTTGGTATGAGTAACGAATAGACACACAAAACATAAAAATATACATATTTCCAAACATTTTCATATAGATTTCTCCAAAAACAAACATGTAGAGTTCAAATTAGTAGTAATTTTAGACTAAAAGTGAAGTATCTACTATGTTATAAAGGGTAATTTATGAATTTTATTACAATATCTAGCAACTAAATTTTTATTCGTGTTATAAGAATCCCTGTAAGTTTTATCCATAAATATTGTCTCAAAGTGAAAATATTGCAAAATTTGCAAGTTAGCAAAAAATTTGCAATTCCCGCCATTTTACGTCGCGAGCCAACCGGCGAATCGAATAAAGTCGCCTTTCGAGCATACAGGTTTTTTTTCGCCATCTACTATATTTTTACAGGTAGCCTCGGAAATACTATAGGTACTTTTTTAGCGTTGCAGATCTGATTAGTTTAAAGTGGTAATTAATGGTTTTTGGTCAAATGTTTTGATTCTTCTTATTCATCAGAATACATCAGTTCATACAGTCAACACGGCCATCTATCTTCTCTTGTAGAAAAATTTGCCTTAATCGTCACCGTCATCTATCGGAAACTGTAACACTTTTCTAGCAGTCCCAGGCACCTCTTCACTCACCATCACGTACGTATTCGATACGGAGTCATGTTATCCACCCCCCCACTCCTCATATAAACTGCGTTTCTAAGTCTACCGACTACAGGAGCCTCTGGTTAGCGTTCGCTTCCGGCACTACAACATCATCCGCGACTAATAACATTATGCGGATACAGAAATCGCCACTGCGGTCGAAACTGAACGGGAGAAGTAATTATTATTAAGAAAGACATAATTGACATTATTGAGAAAGACTTAAGATGATAAGGGTTTTATATTTTTGGGATAAAAGAATAAAACGACAGGCTGTTGTGTTCAAAACACATTTTTATGTTTTTTATTTAAAAATATTCGTCGACACAGCTGTACGCGTCTCTCAAGTTACTATTGTAAAACGGTGCCGCGGTTTGGCACGATCTGGTTGTCTGTCCGCGCCCCGCTTTGGGGCGTTCATAAAAAAGCTTTCGCACTGTCAGTCGGATCTCTTCTCAAACCGAGACACAGCACATGCGTAATGTAGTAATATACGCTCCTTATAAAATCAATCTCTCGAAAACCTTCACACAATATTCGTTTCAGTCTTTACATTATTTTGTCCGAAGCCCGCATCGTAGGCACCATGGCAGTACATGTTTTATTCGACGACATACCGCGCACTTACAAGTTTTCATTACAGATAGGCCTGGTGCCAACGATATGGTCCTCGGCCTAGTTGGTAACACCTTACAACCCCATAAACCTTCACACAATATTCGTTTCAGTCTTTACATTACTTTATCCGAAGCTCGCATCGTAGGCACCATGACAGCACATGTTTTATTAGACGATACACCGCGCGCACTTTCAATTTTTAATACAGAGACACCTGGTGCCAACGATATGGTCTTCGGCCTAGTTGGTAACACCTTACAACCCCGTGGGGGCGACACACATTTATAAGGCAATTTATAGAATATACAATATAG